CACATAAATATGTTATTTTCTATATTAAAACGTAATTTTGGTGGTCTTAGAATAGAAAAATATGCAATATTCGTGGAGATAATGAGGGTTCTTAAACATGTTCTTAAAAATAAATAAAATAATACAAATCTTTATTCAATCTTTTGATATTGTTGGTCCTCTCTTTGTGAAAATACTTAACTTCAAAGAGTATTATGTTTTCCCTAGTGAGGACCTTAAGTTTGCAAAAACATAATAAAAGTAAAATAAAAAAGATCGGATTTATCACAAAACTTTGAGTATTATAGGATTTAATATATTTTCTTAGTAGATTATATGATTTAGTTTAAAAAAAAAAAAAAAAAAAAGGTAGTGGGGCTTCCAGGCACTTCGTGCCTTCTAGCCCTGATGTTGATGTTTAGTATAAATGAAGTCTTAGAGGACAAACATGACTATGAGTTTTGATATGACAAGATAGAATATGAGAGAGGTCCTATAAACCGGAGAAAGTGTTATATAAACATCTGTCATATTACTCAGAATATTATACAGAATTCAATAAAAATATATTTTAGGTGAAGAGGTGAGATTTCACCTGTTTTTTCACCTCATTTTTCACCTCTTGAATTTTCATGAATTTCATCGTAAAGACTTTGTCAAGATTTCATCGTAAAGACTTTGTCAAGACTTCTTCGTAAATGTTTTGTCAAGACTTCTTCGTAAATGTTTTGTCAAGACTTCTTCTTCGTAAATGTTTTGTCAAGACTTCTTCTTCGTAAATGTTTTGTCAAGACTTCTTCGTAAATGTTTTGTCAAGACTTCTTCTTCGTAAAATCAGACAAAAATATATTTTAGGTGAAGAGGTGAGATTTCACCTGTTTTTTCACCTAATTTTTCACCCTCTTGAATTTTCATGAAATTTACACCAAAAATATATTTTAGGTGAAGAGGTGAGATTTCACCTGTTTTTTCACCTAATTTTTCACCCTCTTGAATTTTCATGAAATTTACACCAAAAATATACTACTAGGGTCATTTACGAAGAAATCTCAACAAAGTCTTTACGAAGAAATCTCAACAAAGTCTTTACGATGAAATCTTGACAAAACATAGACAAGAAAGTTCATGAGAAATTAGATGAAGAAGTCTTAACAAAGTCTTTACGAAGAAATTCATGAAAATTCAAGAGGTGAAAAAAGAGGTGAAAAAAGAGGTGAAATCTCACCTCTTCACCTAAAATATATTTTTGGGTCATTTACACTCATTTACGAAGAAATCTCAACAAAGTCTTTATGAAGAAGTCTTGACAAAGTCTTTACGAAGAAATCTCAACAAAGTCTTTACGAAGAAGTCACAATAAAACATCTGTCAAAAACCGCTTTTTAACTTCACTTAAAATGCCACGTAAGCTACGTAAGAATATACGTAAGAGGAAGAGAGCATTGAAACATCCAATAGTAAAACTGACACCACAACAACAGTTGCAACAACAAATGCTGAATGACCCCACTATGTTGCAACAAATGTCAAGCAATCCTATGCTTTTAAACCGAGTCATTGGTGCACAGAGTGGAGGTTTAAGAGCGGCACTTTTAGCGAAAATGGCAGGCTATGGTGGAGCTGCAGACGGAACAGCTTATAACCCTCAAAGTCAAATGAATTTGAGTTCACTCAAAAATCAAATAACAGATGTCAAAAGTCAAACATAGACATACAGAAACAAATAAGTGAAAACGAAAAGAAACTAGAATATGACAGACACACAAAGAAACTCAATGAGTTAAACGTAGAGAAAAAGAAGAAAGAAGAACAACTGAAAGAACTAAGTACAGAGGAATATGCGAAAAAAGTGTCAGAAAAAGCAGCAGAAGTAGCAAAAATGGAACAAGATGTTGTAAATTTGAAAAACCATACTACTCAATATAAAGTACTGAAAGATGAAGAGATAAAACAAAAAGCCCTGAAGACATATATGGATAGCGATGAGTATAAAAAAGAAGTTGAAGCAAATGTAAAGGCAGAAAAACTTTTACAGTTGCAAAACCAAACCGTACAGTATGAAAACTTAGCACAAGAAAGTAAAAATAACGACGCAGCCATGCAAAAGGCAATGAAAAGCGCAGAATATATAAAAGCTAACAATGACTGGTTAGATGCCCAAGCCAACGCTAAAGCAGCCCAACTCATAGGGTCAATAAGGACAAAAATACAAGCGGATGAAGACAGTTCAAATGAAGCTTTAACAAATGCTGACTTTAAGAACGCCTTCGAAGCTCTTCATAGTAAGGTGAAACAAGTGAACGACTTCTCATCTGGAAAGAAACTGAAGTCTGAAGGTTTCGACAAAGAGTTAAAAGAAGTAGCACAAAATATGACGAAAATAACAGACGCAGCAACGAGACAGGCAGTTCAAAGTGCCTATGACGCCGTTAGAGCAACTGTTGTGAAAAGTCAAGAAAAAGAGTTACAACAGACCAAAACAGACCTAGTAAATGCTTTCTTAAGAACGAAAAGTCAGATAGGACATTACGCTGCAGATGGAACATATGTGCCAGCTGGTGGAATTTATATACCACCAAACCCTCCAAGAGAAGCACCTGCACCAGGACTACCTATGACATTTACATCGTCACATGGACATAGACACAGGCATGCACAACAACCAACACAACAACCAGCACAGCAACCAACAGTTCAAAACCCTGCACAACAACCAACACAACAACCACCTCCACAACCAGCACAACAACCAACACAACAACCAGCACAGCAACCAACAGTTCAAAACCCTGCACAACAACAACCACAAACAGAGCAAGGACATAAAAGAAGTAGAGAACAAGGAAACCAAGAATTCTTAAAAATGCTTAAAGAAGAGTGTGGTTTCCCAGATACTGTTGACTTTAGTGACAGATATAAAGAAGCTATTGGAAAGTTCAAGGATGGAAATACTGACCCGAACCTATTTAGCTTTATGGCTCAGCACCAAAACGGATATAATCTCAAACCTGGAAAATACAAGCTCGCTAAGGGATATGATTTAATAGCATATCATCCAAATGACATGGATGAATTTACTCCGAGATATTTGATGTCAGAGCTAAATGACAATTCAACTTTCGTCATGAAACGCGTAAAAAATAGAGACGGAACGAAAGAACAAAAGCTTATGAATGCGGATGACGTAGATAGGGAAATTGTTGAAAACGGTCTCGGAATATATGAAATGCCAGCAGATGAGGTACAAGAAACTCCACAGGAAGAAATAGTTCAGATACAACCAGACATGGAAGAAATAGTTCAGCAACAACAGCTAGAAGAGCCTGAAGGAAACGAACAAGTCACTCCTTTGGAAACTAACTTCACAGAACTAGATGAAGATTTGGAACAGCCGAAAAATCTTGACCCTCAACAAGAGTATGCGGAGAATATGGAATATTTCCAAGAGTCTAAAAAAAATTCGGCTGACATAGTAGAAGAATATCGAAAAATGTTTGCCGACATACAAAAGACTCCAACATCAGATGAAAATATTCGGCATAGAATGGAAGCACTGAAAGAAAATGTACACAAATACAACAACCCTTTTTACTTACGAGCATTTAACGTTCAATCTTCGGATGAACTCGGTGAAGATAAAAGGTTAAATTTCAAGAAAACATATAGAAATGAAACATTGTTTAAAGTTCATTCAGAACCTAACCAAGATGGAAACAAACCTACTTTTGTTTCTGCAGACGATGGAACTACAATGAGATGGGGTCATAAAGCTAATCCAGATAGGTGGTTCATAAACTTACAACCACAATTCCAAGAAGTTGTAGACGCAATGGAAGTCAATGGTGAACCAGATATAGCTGGTATTTTAAGCGCGGCTTTAATGCCATTGAAAGATATGAAAGATGCAGATATTTTGGACCAGTATGAAATGAACATGGCTGATGGAAATATAACACCTGACGTTCTAGAACATTTATCTCAAAGAACTACACAGAACCATAGAGATGGTATATTTGGTGAAGAGTTTAGAAAGAAAGTTGGGAGAGAGAAGGAAGAGAAATTGTACATGACCTTGCAAACGAAAGTTTACAAAATGTCATAAAAACTTACTTTGCAGGCGATGAATCGAGAAGGGATGAATATTTAAGAAAACTCAAATGGACAGTACCAAATGAAATGTTAGTATTGAAAAACATTTCCTTGACAAAATAAAACCAACTACAGAAATAAACGACGCAAGACTGAAAGATTGGGTAAAAGCTTTCCCATTCACAAAAGATATAGTTGGTAACATGGAAAGAAAACCAGAATGGCTACAAAAACATATATTTGGAAACGAGCATATTCCATATGGACAGGCACTGTTTGAAGAGCTTGAACCAGAAACTCAGGAAAGAGTCATGCAAACAATACGCAAAGACTCAAATACAGACTATGACAAACTCTTTCTAGGATATAGGTTACCTGAGATGGGCGACCAGAGCCAAAAGGCAAAAAAGGACATGGGAAATTTGCAACATACTAGATGAACATAATGCAAAGATGCAACAACTTCAAGCAGAGGGCAATGAAGGAAAAAGAAGAGTTAAAAACTCAGTCAGGAAGAAAGTAAAGCTTGGTCCACGTGGGTTCTATTATGACATATAAATCCAACTATTCTATATTTTTACTCATATGAAATGTACGCCGCTCAGAATATAACGCCAACAGTTTTGGATGCTATGAATGGAAATGTTTCCGAATGGTATAACGAATGCGACAATGCCATTAGAAGGTCAGAAATAGTTCCTGGAACTTACGAATATACAACTGCTGTTTCTTATGGAAACGTAGGTGAGTTTGGAGAAGGTTCTTCAACAACAGTAGATATTGCTTGCGACAGGTTTCATATAATTTCTATTGACAACTCTTTCTTATACGTGGAACAAGACATTGAAATAAAACCTTCTGCCAAGTTGTCTGACAAGAAAGGTTGCAATGGAATTTTCTATGTCGGATACCAATATGCTCCAGAAGTTTTCATGGGATATAAGATATATTCTAACTCTGACTTAGTTCAAACAGTAACATGGGCAAACTATGAATGGTTCGCTTTAAGAAACTCAGTACAACCACAAGCTAGAGAACAAACAGACCAGTATGCAACTATTGAGAAAATAAGAAGACTTGACCCTAACGTTCCAGGAGTTTATGTTGACCTTTCTGGACAAACTGCAGCAGCAGTAACCAAAGTAAAACTGAAACTTAGAGTTCCTTTGTCATCTTTCCTCATCTTCAGGTTTTTAAGATACTTGCCAAACTGGGCAGGAAAAATTTCTATCGAACTTACTCCAAGCAAAAATAACTTAGTCATTGCACCAACACAAGACCCATTCACTCTTACAGACGTAAAGGGAGCAAATCAAACGTCATTCGCCGACTTTTGCAAAGACAAAGTTGACTTAGACTTTGGTTTCTCAAACCTCAACACTGAAGTAAACTATTATTTCAATGCTGCTGGAACTGCTTGGGACCCAGTTAAGTTCACATGCGAAAAGTTTGAATGCAAGAGAATAGAAAGCAGACTTGCAGTCTATATGTTGGACCCAGATATTTCAAATGCTTTAGCTGCCAAATATATTGCAGTTCCACTTATGTTCCCTATACACCAAATATCTGTCAAAGACTTTGCAGGTGAAGTTGGAAACCAAAGTGCTGACCCAGGTGCAAGAACAGATATTGCTTTAACAACTGCAATGAAACATGCAGATACTATGTTTGTACTGTTCAGACGAACTATAAATGACTATTCTTGCTTCTACAACCCTGGTATTAAATACCATATAAACATAGATGGCAAATACTATCCAAGAGAAGAATATTCCACAGTTGAAGATATGAGGTCATACAACTTGACATTAGATGCTATGAACTTTAACAACAACTTCACAACAACCATTAACCCTGAAATGCAAAGTTCTATTATGCCATATGTGAAAGTATGGACCCATACAGGAGCTCAAAAAAACTCAATATACAAATGGAGACCGTTCAAACTTTTGGCTTGGCATTCCATTTGCTGACTCAGAAGACTTTATGGGTGGTATTTCAACTGTTGGTACAGTTCAAATACAATATACTGGTGACAGAGACGGTCCAAATGAATTGAAAGCAAAGAAGTTTACAAAACCAATAGCACTTTTCACGGAAGATGCTCTTTTGAAAATTCGTTCGATGAAACCTGCTGGGGCTCCTCAGATTGGCATAACGACAGCTTCCATCGAGCAGATTTTGGCAGCAGGTCAGTAAGTTGTTCTTGAACTGACTTCTCTCCGTCAAATATTGACAGTACGCCAGTTTTGATATAGTATTGTATTAAAAACTTACCTTTAGAAATATCGGTCAGTTTTGTTGTTATATTTTTGTCTGCTTCAAGAACTTTCACCATCTCGGTTATACCAACTTTCTTTGCTTTATGAAAATATTTTGGTTCAGCAAAGACTGCTATTCTATAACATTTTCCATTGTTTGTATAAAGAACTATTCTGTCAATGTATTTGTATTGTTTGTGTGTGTAAACTTTGTTTTGCTTCAATTCGAAGAGATACTCGAATACGTCCATCTTTTTATTCTAAGTAAAATGTCATTTCCGAAAAATAGAAGCGTAAGTGTTTCAAAAGGTTTAATGGCGATGGCAGATGTGAAGTTAAATTCACCAACTCAAACAAACAGTCAAAGTGTTGTTGTCAATGTCAAAGAAAGAGATGTTGAAGTGGGAAACCATACGAAGACGAAGATGTATAACAATTGTTCCTGTAAAAGAACAACCAACATATCCTGAAGTTAGCAGAGAGTTAAGTTCTGTTGCAGATATTCGAAATGACTACCAACAACTTAAAGACAAACTTAAAACTCAGGAGAAGATTTGTCAAGCTTTAGTATAATGTTAAACTTGGTCGAACACAACCCTGTAAAAGTGAACTCATATGTCATCGCACCTCATGAAATTTTGAAAGAACTATTGAAACTTTTGACAGAGGCAGACGATATAAACATCAAAGAAATAGAACCCGACATTGCTTGCTGTGGTGTTTCATACAATGTCATTGACAAGATATACGTTATGAAAGGAGGTGAAACGTTGAACTTAAAATATAGTTTCCCAGACGTCATAAAAATATTTGACGACCACAACATTTCATTAAAATTTAGTTGCTAAGTAAATGGCAGAAGACATAGTGGTTTATACTATTACGACTAAAAACCCTGAGTCATATAATTCTATAACAACAAACTTACAAAGTCCTCAAGGACGATATTGTAAACTGACCTTAAACACGATGACGACTAAAGCCTGTTTTGCTCTTTTGACACCAGAAGACTTTGTTGTTGTGAATGGTAAAAAATACTTCTTTGAAGATACTTACTCAGATATACCACCAACAGGTTTTGTTGACTTATTTAATACTTTAAGGACGGATGTAACATGTGCTGCAACTAGAGCAGGTTTCATTATGTTTGGATGTCCGACTGAGTTTAGTATAAACGATATGAGCTATAATACAAAACTTATATCTGGTTTTTACTACCAACAGTTTCCTATAACAGGAAAAGGTGTCATACAAGGTTTGTCTGTTCCATTGACATTAAGCACACCTATTTTATATATTGTTTCAAACTTAGGTTCAAAGTGTTATTCGAATATCGACAGAAACTACTATGACCAAAAGATACTCATGCGTATAAACAACACTTTCTCTGCTGGTTTGCCTATTGTTCATTCGAATGCAGAGTTTTCAGCTTTAGTAAACTCAAACACTTTAGCAAACATAACGTTGACATTAGTCGACGCAAACTTTGTTCCTGTAAAACTTTTATGTCCTATGTATTTGTCAATGACGGCAGAAAGTTTCGAATTGGAAGATGCAACTGGTGAAAGTATTGTACTACAAGAACAACTTCAACAACAAATAGCTCAAGAACAACAAATGCAACAAATGCAACAACAAAGTCAAGAATAAAAAAAAATATTTTTATTTTATTTGAAATGTACGCTGAGTTTTGTTGGAGAAGACCGTCAGACAACATGTTTGTTAGATGAGAAGTAAAACATTGCATGAAATAGTAAAATATGGCATACCATTTTAAAACATTTTTTTCAAAAAAACATTTTTTTATTTTATTTGAAATGTACGCTGAGTTTGTCGGAAAAAACTGTTGGAAAACTTGTTTGTTAGATGAGAAATATGAAATTCACTGTTGTGAGTCATTTGAAGTCAGAAACAAAAAGACAAAAAGAGTTTTAAGCGAATGGGAGCAAAATAAAGGATATGCTAGGATGAAGATGGGTGGAAAACACTATTTAAAACATGTTGTCATTGCAACTCATTTTATACCGAACCCTAACAATCTACCTTTTGTAGACCATATAAACCGTATAAGAAATGACAATAGACTTGAAAATTTACGTTGGGTTACTCGTTCTGAAAACAATAAGAACAAAAGCAAATTTAGAGATATTGTATTCGAATTTGTCGACGAACTAGAAGATGAAGCAATTGAAATTACAGACTATGGCAAGCATACGTTTGAGTTTTACTACTATAGCGAAGAACAAGACTCTTTCTACTTTTATACCGGCGTAAACTATAGGAAATTACAAGTATGTTTTACTAAGGATGGCTATGCTTATGTAAACACTAGAGATACAGATGGAAAATACGTTAAAATACTTCTTAACAAATTCAAGAAGCTATATGGCATACCATTTTAAAACGTTTTTTAAAAAAAATATTTTTTTATCCGATAGAAAAGATGGCAAAATTCATCTCAGTCAACAAGTACATGACAGAAGTCAAAGAAGAACTAGACCCATTCACGTATTTGAATGTTTACTTCTACCATTTTGAAAAGTCTACATTTGACAAAGTTTGGAACATCGAACCAGTTAAGTTTGCTATTGTGACTAAAAATGGTGCGAAATTTGAAGACTTATACATTGACGGTATGTTGACAGTCAAAGAAAATTTTGACAGAAAGTTCTCAAAACTCGAAGAAGGTAAAGCATACAAACTTGTTATACCTTATGAACCAAAGAAAGCAGACGACTATGAATATTATGAGTCTAAGATAGTTGAAGTTCAAGGTAAATTGGGTAAAAAGATTTTAGAGTCTAAGCCAGTGTTTGCTCCTAAAGAGGAAGAGAACATTGACATTGACCCAGAAATGTTCTAAAAATAAAATTTTATTTTTACATGTCATATCTCACCTTCTCTGGAATTGGCTCTGGTTCTTTCTTCTCTTCTACTTTTTTCTCTTTCTTTCCTTTCTTCTTCTTCTTCTCTGGTGGAGTTATGTCAAATTTGGCGCAACCATATTTATGTAAAAGTTCTTTGTCCTTTAATAGCTCTTCTATTCTGTTTTCTATTTCATCTTCAAGAACAGCGCATGTGCCTTCTTTGCATTCTAAGAACTTTTGTTGGACTTCATCTTTCCAATCGGCGTCATCTCTGTCAACAAGTCTGTCATTGACAAACTTAAAGACTTCTCTGCCTAATGTTTTATGGTTCTTGTCATATTCCCAGAAACAGAACTTTAGAACAAATTCACCTTTCTTGTTTACACTATGTAAGATTTTATGGTCGACAGATGTTTTGCTGTCGAAAAGTTTGTCTCGAATATAGATAGCGAAATCGCTAGACATTTTCAAAAAGATAAAAATTTTAATTTTTCTAAAAAATATGTTAGAAAAAAAGTTTGCTGACATTGACAAGAAATTTGAGAATGTTTTAAACAAGAACAAGAGGAAGTTAGAAAATGCTCAGATAAAACCCATACATGACAAGTTCTTATTTGCTCAGAATGGTATAACAGGTCTAATCGCACCACCTGGGTCGGGTAAGACTTTCACTTATCTTAAAATGGCTGCACAACAACAAGAACTAGATGAGAAGAACCCATTCTATGAGTTAGTAGTCATTTGTAGTACTTCTGGTCAATTCGACCAAACCGTCAATTCGTTCAAAGATATTATAAAGAAGTCTAAGTTAGTATGTATAAAAGACTCTGAGTTGTTAGATTGGATAAAGAAGTACCAAAGAAGAGTTTTGAAGTACAATGCTATAAATGAGTATATAAATTCTAAGTTTAAAGACCCAAATGAGGAAATGCAGAGAATATTAGAGAAGAAACACTTCAGAAACAAACAGAAAGAGATAGAATACATTTCGAAGAAATTGCAATCTTACGATTGGAAGACATACCCTCATAGGTGTCTTCTTATCTTAGATGACTTTGCTTCTCATCCTTTGTTAAAGAACAGAGAACAAGATATGTGTCGAATTCTTAAGAAGCTCAGACACTTTAACATTTCAGTTGTCATTTGTGTACAGACAGCAAAGAGTTTAAGTAAGGATGTAAAGAGAATACTTACTGATATCATACTTTTCCCCGGATTGTCCGAAGACGATTTCATGGAACTTATGAAAGAGTCCATGGCAGGTAAGTTTGACAGACATGAACTATGGGAGAAGTACAAAGTCATACAAGACCCTCATACTTCTTTCAGAATTCACATCTACGCGAACAAAGTTCAAATTGTAAAAAGTCAAGCTTGAAAAATGTAAGTGTTTGAGTCTTAGTCTGTTGTGGTGCTGGGGCTGTCGGTTCTTCTGGCTTTGGAAGACATTCAGGAAGAGGAACGTCAGCCATCCGTTTGTGTCCTGTCGGAAGGAAAAACTTTTTCTGTCGGAAGGAAGAACTTTTTCTGTCGGAAGGAAAAACTTTTTCTGTCGGAAGGAAAAACTTTTTCTGAAGTTCGACCAAAAAGTTCTCAATTTTCGAAAATTTGAATGGTTTACGGACGGACAACAGGAAAATTTTTTCCAGTTGTCGGGAAATTTTTTTCCAGTTGTCGGGAAATTTTTTTCCTGTCGGATGGAAGGACTCGGAATGTCGGAAGGAAGAACTTGGAATGTCGGAAGGAAGAACTTGGAATGCCAGAAGGATTTGACAAGACAATTTACCTTATAGAGCTACCTGAGCCATCTGAAGTCAAGCGTAAAAATAAATGGTTCATTTACTCTGCTTGTTTGAAGTTGTCAAAATACTCTGTTATTTTTTCTTTCAGTAGCGGCAAATCTTCTTTGAATGTAAGTATTGTACAACCTTTAATATCATAGTGTGTTTGAGGTAACGTATCTTGAACTATCTGTTTAACATCTTCATTTGGTGTCATTGAAATCGGTAAGTTTTCGCGATAGAACCAATTTCTGTCAGATTTGTAAATCTTAGCAAGGTCGTAAAAGCTTTTGTTGTTTCTTCTGACTAAATGCAACATAACCATATCTCTGTCTTCTTCATTTTCCATCTCTTCAGTATAAATCATATACTTATAGTTCTTTTCCTTTCCTTTTGGTACCGAACGTGGTATTCTTTTCTGAATGTTTTTGTCTTTTGCTTCAATGACTTCATCTTTTGCTTGAAGTTTCTTTTCCATCTCTTCACGTTCTTGTCTATGAATTTCATCTAACATCATGAAAATATAACAAGCGTAACGAGGTGAAGCCCACATTGCTACAGCATTTACAAGAAGTCTATGAACATAATATCCTTTTCAACTATTTGGCAAATTTTTACGATTTCGTACGGAATCTCGTTCCTCGGTTTTCCGAGGAACGCAAACATATGAGGAAATTCTTCTAAAAGTTCTTTTGCCTGCTGGTTTTCAAACCAATGGTATGCTTGCTTTGTAGAACGAAGAGCATTCAAAATACTTTGCATTTGGTACATGTCATCTTTGACCGAACGAATGAGACGTAACTGTTTGTTATATTGTATGTACTCATATTCTTCACTTATGGCTTCATGAACGATAGCAGTTGTTGTGTTCTCTGTTGTTGACATATCTGTCTTTACATACAAAATAAAAAAATAAAAAAAATAAAATTAGCGTTATTTTTTCTATCTTGTATAAAAGACCAAAAATAAACGCTTTACATGTATTTTTCAGCAACTTCGTCAAGAAGTCTGTAAATATACCATGCATAACGAGAGAAGCCCACATTGCTATTGAACTAACTAGGAACTTATGAACATATATACCTTTTAGATACGATGGTAAGTTTTGTCTGTCTTGGTACATCTTTTTAAGTTCTACATGTTCGAACTCACTCAAAAGTTCATGAGTGCTATTTAATTCAAACCAATCTTGTGGTTTCTTAGTATCTGGAGCAAAACATGCTGTCAAAATACTTTGCATTTGGTACATATCGTCTTTGACCGAACGAATGAGACGGAGTTGTTTGTTAAACTGAACCCACTCATATTCTTCATTTATAGCTTCATGGACTATAACTGTTGTTGTGTTCTCTGTTGTTGACATATCTGTCTTTACATACAAAATAAAAAAATAAAAAAAAATAAAATTAGCGTTATTTTCTGACTTTCACAAAAGACCAAAAATAAACGCTTTACATGTATTTTTCAGCAACTTCGTCAAATAATTTTATAGCACTATCTATCTCATCTACTTCAAACGTTTCTTTACCTTTTATGGGAGCACCATACATTTTCTCAAACTTTTCAAGCAGTTCTGTTTCTGCAGCTCTCATATCGTTAACAAACACAACCTTAACTCTATTGACTGTAGAGTCATATCTTTTAGTTATATTAAATGTTCTTCCTATCTTATATCTTTTTGTGTTGAAGTCCTTCGGTTTCTGAACGATATAAAGTAAGCCTTCACTGCAACGTTCAGTATCGAATGAACCATATGTTATGAAATTATATCCAACAACTGGGTCAATCCAGAACAAAACTACTGGTATAAGACTTTTGTCGATGAGATATGTTCTTGTTCCATAGAATCTTACCGATATCATAAGCTCAGGATTTCTTGTCAAAATTTTCTGAGTAGAAGCATTTCTAACCCAGTCGTGGGATGTTTTCTTTTCAGATAGTGTTAAAATGTCTGACAAAGAATATTTGTTGTATTTCTTTGAGTATCTTACGTTTAAATCACCAATTCTAACCACTTTGGTGTCATTGTCTATCTTTTTAACTGTTTCAAACTCAATGTTTAACATATCCTGTTCTTACATACAAAATAAAAAAAAATATTTTAAAAAAACTAGCGTTATTTTATTTTGTATAAAAGATACAGTTATATCATGAAATTTGGTCATTTTTCAATAAAAATATATTTTAGGTGAAGAGGTGAGATTTCACCTCTTTTTTCACCTCTTTTTTCACCTCATGAATTTTCATGATTTCATCGTAAATGTTTTGTCAAAACTTCTTCGTAATGAGCGTAAATGACCCAAAAATATATTTTAGGTGAAGAGGTGAGATTTCACCTCTTTTTTCACCTCTTTTTTCACCTGTTATTTTATAAGCGTTTTACATGAATTGTATGATGTATATTTGAAATTCTAAACAGTTTTGTAGCTTCTATTTCTTCTTTTAGTACATCGAATGTTTTCACAATGCCGAATGTTTCTTTATATTTCTTCTTGACATCAGATAGAAGGAAATCGTCAGCTGTTGGATAGTTTTTGTTCAGAAATTCTAACATGTCCATTTTATCTTCTGCTGGTTTCTCTACTTCTTTCTTTAAGTCAGCATAGTCGTTTCGCATACGTTCTATCTCTTTGACGGAGTAGTTATATTTCCTCATTGCTGCTTTACATTTAGAACATTGTGGGTTCATTTTAGCATTGTACATTGAAACCTTACCTGCTAGTATGACTAAGGCGTCAATGGTTTTCTTTAACTCAAAAGTTGCTGGTTTTATCTGTTCGTTCCATACTTTACCTCTTCTATCTTTATCTCTTATCTGCCATACACATTTTGCAACTAACGAAACAAAGTTGTCGTAGGTCTTAAACTCCCCAGATTTGTATATGTCAGAGATATTCTTATATACCATATCGCAATCTTTGTCCATGACTTTGTGGTTGCAATGAAATCCAAGAAACTCATAGTTAACCTTTCGTATGAACTTCTTTATTTCTACTGAGTCAGTTGCTTTGACTTCTATTTCATCGAATTCTGGAATAGTAAGCTTTTGTTGTTGGATTTCAGGAAGTTTAGGTAGATGGTCAATAATGTCCTGCATTTCATAAAGATACTGTTCATTTGTTTCATCTTTCGCAGTGCAATCTAAATCTCCTTGGAGAAGTTCTTGCTTTATCTTCTGGATTTCTGTTTCGAAAGTATATGAAGAAGGAATGAAGCTTTTCATCTCTACTAACATTGAAGTTGGGTTCATGACTAAAGAGTTTGGTGCTGTTGTTGCTAACATGTTCTTACAATAAAAATAAAAAAATATTTTATAAAAAACCAACTTTATTTTTTATTTCGGGAAATTTCATGAGGTGAAAAAACAGGTGAAAAAAGAGGTGAAATCTCACCTCTTCACCTAAAATATATTTTTGTCTGATTTACGCTCATTACGATGAAGTTTCGACAAAACATTTACGTTCATGTTTGACAAAACATTTACGATGAAATCATGAAAATTCAAGAGGGTGAAAAAACAGGTGAAAAAAGAGGTGAAATCTCACCTCTTCACCTAAAATATATTTTTATTGAATTCAGCAACAAAATGGTTCATTTACTCACAATATTTTTGTACAAAACGACCCCAAACTTTTAACTTCTTTTCTGCAGCTTCTAATGCTATCTTAGCGAGTTCATATTCTCTAAATTCTCTCTTTAAATCTTCTTGTTCCCATTGGTCTAGTTCGTATGGAGAATCTCTATAACCAGAACATATCTCACGTTCATGTTCTATTTGTTTTTCATGCATTTTTCTAACTTCTTCTTCGAACAAAGGTTTTGCATTCTCTACTGTATCTTCAAGTTCTTCTTCATCTAACTTCTCATGAACTTTCTTGTCTATGGAGTCCATAATTTTTCCAACTGCTATGCAATATTTTGGAGAAGCCCCACATTGCTATATAGTTTACAAGTCTTGGGTCTACATACATTCCTCTAACCTGTTTGATTTCATCCGGAATTCCTGCATGAACCTTGTATAAAAAGCAACCGTCGGAATTCCGGCGGTTGGTATATTCTTCACAAAATGCCGTATAATACTCTTCCCAGGACTTATTTTCCAACAACTTTCTAAAGTCTTTCCTAAACTGCTGACACATATTTGTTACATTTATATAACCATCCTTGTCTCTACGTAAGACTTCAATACCGTTGTAAGTGCCTTTCGTGAATGTTTCGCCATTATATTTGTTCGTGAACGTTTTTGCTTCGACTGACATTTTCAGTTCTTACAATAAAAATAAAAAATATTTTTTGGTGGGACGTCGGACATTCGTTTGTGTCTTAACCGTCTTTGTTCTGAAACAATATAATATTGTCTTGAAAAAGTACAATATTGTCTTGAAAAAGTACAATATTGTCTTGAAAAAGTACAACATTGTCTTGAAAAAGTACAACATTGTCTTGAAAAAGTACAACATTGTCTTGAAAAAGTACAACATTGTTCTGAAAAAGTACAACATTGTTCTGAAAAAGTTCAAGACTTGTTCTGAAAAAGTACAGCCGTACTCAAATTTGAGAGACATTGTACTGAATTTATACAACATTGTTCTGAAAAAGTACAACATTGTCTTGAAAAAGTACAACATTGTCTTGAAAAAGTACAACATTGTCTTGAAAAAGTACAACATTGTCTTGAAAAAGTACAATATTGTACTGACTCAGTATGGAGCTTGACCCCTTAGACGAAGCAATTTATCTAATTGAGGTAAATGAAACCGTGAAGGAATATCTCAGCAAGTGCAAACCAAGCAAGTCCATTGGCTTCTGGTTGTCCAAGAATAGTGTCTTAAAGTTGGAAATTGAAACAGGTGTTGCAATTCAAGTTCCAGAAGGCACTGCATTCGATGATATTAAGGATGTGAAGAAAGAAGCCCTCTTGAAGTTCTTCATGAAACGTCCTTGGATACTACTTCCATATCGTGAGAGCCCAATTCCACGAATTACACAAATTCTCAGAGCACTACTTCACTACTCTGGACAGCCGTTCTTCATAACCTCAGAAGGCGACATCCAACCAATTCAGTAAACATCTCATTTTAACTTCACTTTTTTTCTATCTTAAGGAAATTCATGAAAATTCATGAGGGTGAAAAAACAGGTGAAAAAAGAGGTGAAATCTCACCACTTCACCTAAACTTCACATTCAATACTTTTTCAGCACTTCTCCGTAGTTATATATGAAAGACAATTCGAGATAAAAGTCATAGTACAATGGTATTATATGCTGCACACCGTTTGTTGTGAACCAAACTTGAAAGTCAGAGAAACTGTTACTAGGTGGTTCGTAGAATTTAGAAGCAAAGTCATAAAAGTCCTTACCAATACAAAGAAAACTGTTGTTGCTTGAACTGAAACTTGCATGACATATAACATTTTGAGGGTCAAACACGTTTCTATAAACTGTCAAATCTGTTGGTGGGCGTATAAACCAGAATGGACCATCTGGTGGTAATGGTTCGTTTTGGTTTAGTA